TTAATATTTCCATGTATATAAAAAAAAATACAGGAACATTTTTTTAGAATAAACAGGTAATTTAAAGATTTTGTTTTATAGTGTAGGGTCATTTCTGGACACTAGCCACTGACCATTAAGGTTAATCAACTTCTCATGTACTTGCCAAATGTACCTACAAAAACAAAATGTCATACACCTACATTATGGGCCTGTATGCGTTTCTTTTGATCCCTTCAATAATACATACAGCACAGATTAGCAGTAATGAAATACTGCCTGTCGTGTGTTGTGTGTGGTGTGTGTGGTCGTGGTGTGGTGCTGTGTGTGTTGGTGTGTGTGTGTGTTGTTGTGTGTGGTGTTCGAAAGCATCTCTGCATGGGGTGGTCTTTGGATGGCTGATTAGAAGATGTTACATCATCACACACACACACACACACAAAAGCACGGTTTTAATAAAACAGGAGATACAGCAGACCACCCGCCCTTTTTATATCCATATTTAATATTCCATACAGATTTTTCAATCCAATATCAGCGGCTTCATATTTCCAGATTAGGAAAGACTATACGTAATCCACAGTGTGTGTGTATGTGTATGTGTGTGTGTGGGTGTAGTTAGGGAACTCCTGTGTAAAGAACACATTTAATATCCATCTAATCTGGTTTGATAACATTGCTAGAATAATATAGTGCACAGTATGTATTAATACATACATTAATACAAATCTGTTCTTGCTGACATGATGTGAAATGGAAGAGTCAGAAGGGGAGACAATTAAGGCTTTATAGTTGTGACACATATTCACCATCAGCCATGGTCATCTAACATTGAGGTGTGTGTTAAGACACTGGGTCCCAACTCCCACTAGGGGTCTGCAAAGCTTCACCTGGGGAGTGTAAGAAGTCATATAGGGCATCTTTAAAGCAGCAGTAGGTATCTTTTATAAAAATATATTTTCGTCATATTTGCTGAAACTTTCACTATATCCTGACAGTAGAACATGAGACAAAAAAGTCTCATTACAAAGACAAATAACTAATAATAATAATAATAATAATAATAATACTGCGGTTTTAAGAGAAAAGGTTGGGAACCATTGTGTTAACATGTACTCTGTACCCCAACTCTGTAGGGCACTTTGGGAACATTGTATGTAACAAGTGATGTTCAAAGGCCCCCTAGAGCCCCTCATCTGTGCCTGGATGACACTGACCAACTGCACTGCTCCGACACTAACAAGTTCACTAGAGAACACAGGATGGTAAACACCTGTGTTCGTGTCAAGGCTAACAGGAGCATAGCATATTTTAACTTGAAGCTAACCAGCACTTAAAAGCTCAGTGGTAAGTAGCCTCCTACAGAGCCAGTCAACTTGTCAGTGTGAAGGAAGATAGTGAGAGGGAGGGCCATCAGGTATAATATAAATAAAATATATTTTCTTTATCAAAATAGAAACATTTTTATTTCTGATGTAACAGTGCCTATTTCCTTTTCTTTGTAAAAGTGAAACTGATGTCTTTGCGCCTTGATACAGCTACTGAAAGAGTGACGTATGATACAGAACAAGCTAAATCAAAAGCAGATAGCGCCCTCTGCCGTTTAAAGAGAGTAACATGGTTAGCAATATAAGCTACATATTTGTTGCCAGTGGAGAAATCACCAGACTGCCTGGTCTGGTGAGTTAGGAGAAACTTTATACACTTTGTGAAATGCTCAATTCCTAATTATTTGAGCCTCATTGTGAATTCAGTGTGTAAAAAACATTGTGTCCAGGGAAGTGAGATCTAATCACAAGTGGTCACTGGAGACACGTGTGGAGACGCATCCTGGTGTAAACTGACGTGCTGTCCACTTGTGATCAGACCACCCAAGGTGCACATTAATGCCATGTACGGACAGGGCGTATTTATGTGTCCTAGCTATTCTTGCTATTGTTGCTAGGTGCATGATGTCACAGACTAACTCTAATCCCATTGGCTGTTTCTTTTTCTGTCTCTTTTTTTTGCCTATTTCAGATAGTGCAGCAAGCTGAAGTGAGAGCTGAAATGAGGGTGGAGAGGCGGCGTGGCTTTCCTTTCCTACCATCCTTTGCTTTTCCTTCGGCCCTGTGGAAGCACTCATCCACACCACTGCACTGAACCCTTTTCACTCTGTCACTGCACTTGATCTCTCTTTCTCCTTACATCTATCTATCTTGCTTGATGAATAGGTCAAGCACCACAAACCAGTAGACCCTCTCAGTAAAGACCAGTGAAATCAATTGCTTAGATTGTAGAACTGCTAAGAGAGATCATCCTACTCAAGCAATGCAGTAGTCTATTTAAATATATTACCTCACCTCACCCCTCCCCACCCCCACCACCACCCAGTGTCTGGCTCTGTCCCACAGGCTCCCACAGGCAATGAGGAGGGCCAGGGGGTTTATCTCTTTCTAGACTTTCTCTTCTCCACCTTGTGTCTTCATGTTTTGGGGGTCCTCTAGTGCCCCCGCCCTCTGTCAACCCCCCCGCACCCGCTGCCACCACGGCCGGCCATCCCAGTCGCCTCGTTGCCATGCCGACAGAGACACTGGCTCCAGCCCTGCCAGATAGCAAGGCCGCTGGCCCCGCAACACCCTTCAGTTCCACCGTACCCCTCCGTATCCTCAATAAGGGCCCTGAGTACTTCAGGAGACAGGTACCATTACATCACCCTGTGCTGTCAGTCTTACAATGTATATACTGCTATGTTATACCCGAATCTGGATACTTTTAAATGTTTTAATTTGTCTTTCATGGAGAAGTACAGATACTTGTGTAAAAAAAAAGTACGGATTCAATTTCTTTAATCAAGTAAAAGTCTAAAAGTACAGGCTCTGAAATGTTCTCAGTACAAAGTAAAAAGTCATCTATTGGTTTCTCTGAAGGACATTTGTACTGACTTTCTGTGGAAACCTAACTGGAACTACAAATTTAGTTGTCTCCCTCTCTTGTCTGTTTCGTGGGTGATATGCACTGTTCTTGATATTTGGAAAGTACAGATATTTGTGTAAAAATGTAGGGTGTAAAAGTTAAACTTTCTCATAGACATAGATACTAAAATAAAATACAGATACCTAGAAAAACGACTTTATTATTTTATTTCCAACCTCTGCCAACATCACCAAATATAGTTTCAATCCGACACCAGTAATACCAGGGCCAAAATCACCAGTATCCATACATGTAATCAAAGGAGACAATGTGCTATCTAGTGCTCATTCTCTCTACTATTTTGAGGGTTAGTCTTAATCGTGAGATCAAAAGTCCATGTTTGTTTTAGCCATACTTAGCCAACCTCACCTTTTTTATTGTTTGACAATTTTCTAGTCAACTAAAACTGAACATTTTAGTACTACTGTGGGTTCTTGCAGCGCACAATCTCACACACTGGGTTGTGTACCACACAACTTTTATTTAACGCATCGCTGTCACAACTGACAACACACAACAACTTCATACGGCTCTTGCTCCTGCTCTCAGTTGTCTCTCCGCCACCCAGGTCCAGCACACTACTGCAATATAAGGGAAGAGTGATTACTCAATAAGTAGCAGCTGTGATCATCAACTCAAAGCCTTCCCCACACCTCTCTCTTCTGCAGCTGAGTGAAACATCAATTCAAACATGATATTAATTTGCATTTCTGCATTTTCATATTTATCTTGAACCAACACCATTCAGCACAGTCAACAACAACAAACACCTCTCTGACACTGATTTACATTAACATGTACATACATACCATACCAGCATATTTTATTCAAGGCCAAAGACCAATTTTCCACATAGAATGCTGTATTCTAATAACCACTAGATGGTGCAAAAAGACTACATTTAAATGCATGAGTCTGTAAGTGTAACACATCATTTCTTAAAGTAAAGACATTCATACACCACTGTTGCTTGTGCATATTTTATTTTTATTGTCCTAGACCAGTGGTTCCCAACCTGTATGAACTTAAGGGACTGCTTTTCTATCATTCATAGGTGACATTTTCTATGGATATTTCATATTATCATTATTATTATTATTAGTGTTTGGAATTTCCCCATTGTGGGACTATTAAAGGAATATCTTATCTTATCTTATTATTATTATATAATTATTATTATTATTAAACTATATCATGAACCAAAATAATGAACTTAGTAGTGAAGTTTGTGTAAAACAGGTGATTTGGATGAATTTTGAGCAGGTTACTTCCTGTTTAGGGAACTTTTTACACAATTGTAATGTGTATTTTTTTTTCATCAGTTTTTTAACAGTCGTACAAACTTAACAACATTGGTCAATTAAACAATTTACTTAACATTTACTTTTCTGCACAGAAGTGAAAATGCAATCATAAGGTTGTGCCAAAAGACAAGTGTGGGACATTTTTGGAATTGGAAATATAAGGATGCAAATGAAAAAATATGCATCGTACACGGCAATCTATCCAGTGATTCAACATGCAGCAGCACTCTGACTTCATTTGACCTGAATTGATCGTAGCCTTGCCTACTACTTCATGTCAAAATTACTGCTGTGAAAAAGGTCTGTGGTCAGAGGGAAGAAGTATATGCAGAAGGTTTTTCCACTATGGCGTGTCTGCTAGCTTAGCCGGACTTCGTCAAGCAGGGGATAGCCCCCACCCTCCGTTGAAATCTACCTTGACTTCGACTTACCTGACTTGCAGGTTTAGTGTTCAGTCTGAATGTCAATTGTTGCCCTGTCAACAGTTTATAGCCCCAAAAGGGTTTGCAGCCTGTTCTGGGTGTGGCCCTGCATCTTTCCTTATTTTTGGTTAGCTCCAACCCTGGGTATGCAGAAATGAGCAGATAGAATAGAAAACCTGTGGAATGGTTGTAATCATTAACTCATTTTATTTTTAATCTGTGTCCCAGGTGGAACCTAACCCTAAGCGCCTCAGTGCTGTTGAGAGACTAGAAGCTGACAAGGCCAAGTATGTCAAGAGTCAGGAAGTTATCAATGCCAAACAAGAGCCAATCAAACCACCTGTGCTGGCCAAGCCTCCCGTCGGTCACACCCTCCTGTCCAAGAGAGGCCCTGGGACTGGTGGAGGAGGAGGAAATGGAGGCGGGTTACCTTTCAAAGCATCCAATAACAACGCCAAGGCAGACACATGTGCAACAAGCAGCGGCGGCAGCAAACGGGACAATTTAAACCTGGAGATTCTAAAAAATCTGCTAAACTCTTCGTCCTCTTCGGGAGCAGGATCTGAAGGTCTAAGAGGTGGAGCTAAGAGTGCTGTGCTGATGAGGTCATCAGGGGGAATGGCTAGGAGTTGGACGCCATCAGGGTAAACTAATATGCTATGTTTATGTCTTGTGTAAACTACTGCTTTAACATTTAAGCACTGATTATGAGCTGTTTTTGTGTACTTATTTACTGCAAATGGATCACAGTGACTGAAATTTCATAAATCCTCCTGACACAGGGTAGGGGAATCACCATAACATAACTCCATAAAAGAAGCCATTATTTTCTCAGATCGTCATGCTAATATGTCTGGAAAATATCTTTATGTGGTTGGCAAAAGTTACCACCTCTTCTCCAAATAATGAATAATAGCTAGTATTGTAGCATTCATAGTTTATAGAGGTGCGCTAGTTGCTGAGGATAACTAGCTTGAAGCTGTAGAAGGTAACTTTTATGAAAATAACTTTTTGTCATACAGTATATGCTACAACTTTCACTATATCCTGACAGTAGTACATGAGACAGGTCATCTGTGAAGACATCAGGTTCCTCTGGCTCCTCCCAGTGCTCTTAAGGGCAATTGCAAGACTGGCCTGGACAAAAACAACCAATCGGAGCCAAGATAGTTGGCCTCATTCCCAGGTCATTTCCATGCATTTAAACTCTATTTCTGGTATTTGTGACAGAGGCATGTCCAAACACTCAGAACACACACTCTGAATGAGCCCACACTTGATTTTGTCTTCCTACCCTATTGTTTTACATTGTATGTATTTTGTGTTTTCTGCTCCTAGGATGCCGTTAACCTACCGCTCTACAATGACTCTTAATGAGCAACCAGCTGACTCAGCTCCCAGTCCGAGCACCTCGCACTCCCTCCGATCCTTCTCCCATTCCCTGAAGGTCCCTCCAATCAACAGCGGGGGACGTCGCAGTCCGCAACAGGGAGGAAATCTAAACCTTAGTAGACGAGTCCTGGACGAGAGAGCAGGTGAAGGAGGAGTTATCGATCGATCTCGCTCACCACTACCGCCTCTGCTCACGTCCCACTCCTCGTCCGACCTCCTGCGACTGTGCAATGGCAAGCCGCTCCGCACAGCCCGATCCAGCAGCTCCTCAGCTCCACCCCTCCCCCCAAAACCCAATCCCGCCTCCCTCCCTCCTCCCGCACTTTCCTTGTCACTGCCCCCCCCACGTCCAACTCCGTCCCCCTTACCCTGTGACAACACCACCCCTCTGTCGTTACCTTGTGATCTGGGAGACCGTTCCAATACTTCAACCGATCCCAACCTGGAGCTTGAGCTTGGTTCGTCTGTTGTTCGTCGCTCCTCGCTACACAGATCTAAATCAGACCTGTCAGACCGGTACGCCCGGGCTGGAGCTGACGTGGAACGCTTTTTTAACTACTGCGGCCTTGACCCCGAGGAGCTGGAGGCAGTAGGTCCAGAGAACTTTGCACGGGCCAACTCGGATATCGTCAGCCTGAACTTCAGATCAGCCTCTATGATCTCTTCCGACTGCGACCGGTCGCGGCGATCTTCCAACGATGCACTGTCAGACGGGGACGAAGACGAGGAAGAGGAGGCTGGAGAGCGTGTGCCATATGGCATCTCAGCTGTGGAGCGAAATGCGAGAGTCATTAAGTGGCTGTACAGCATCAAACAGGCGAGAGAAACACAAAAAGTCTCACATGTTTAGGACAAACACTACAGTGGATTAGATGTACTGTAAACTATAGACAAACCGCCCCATGTTTCAGAAATGATACAAGGACCAGAATTCCTCACAGGTTTAGAGGCCATGATCTTGGGGCTGAACTGAAATATTGTCAAAATGTATAGATGGATGAATGAGTGGATGGAAGCAAAATTCTGACAGGTCTGACATAAACTAGGTAAGAAGACACAATTTTGTTTAGAAATTAAAGACGTGATGAGGAAAAGGACTCCCCAGGCTTAGAACAACACGAACACTAAGAACATAAAGGAATAAAACTTCCTATCATATGAACAAAATGTTTAGTCTGGAGAGACAAGCAACCATGGGACCTGTATGAAAACAAATAAGTTGATTAAATGTTTCTCTATGGACACTGTATAACTCTGGCAGACAAAGTCTGTCAATTTGGTTGAGCAGCAAGAGCGAAATGCACTATGATTGTCTAAGGACCCATAAAGTGACCACCTCACTACAAAGGGTTATAGGCCTTTCTCACAGAGAACATTTTGGCTTGTCAAACACAGGTTTGACCAACATTCCATTTAGGACTGGTAGCCTGGTTTCAGAAATCTGAATCATCAACTACATCTCTGGGTTTGTGCTGGTTCACAGGTGTTTCCTCAGTAGGATACAGCTGACTAATCAAAGCAGTTGGTAGGCATGATATGAAAATTTCCCACACAACTCACAATTCACAATTAACTCACAATTAATCCTGGCCAAAATAATTGCGTATATTATCCCAATAATCACCAAAAAAAAACTGCACTAAAACATGCTGGAATCACTTTACATTTTGTTAAGAAGTAAATATTTTTTGTAAACAAAACTCCCCATTCTCTGACAGTCAGGTGCTGGTAGGTCGCAGGGCCATGTACTAAGAAATTAGATCAGTTACAGATCAAATATTTAGGTTGTCAGAGATCGACTCTTTGGCAGCGGTTCGTTGGTATTTGAAAGTTATGGTAATTCAGTCTGATTATCAGTCTTTCAGTATTTTAATGTGTTAGCTCCAGGCTTTTGGCAGTGTTCATCCTGGCTCATGCTTACCAGTTCTGCCTGTGCTTTTCTTGCAATGACAAGTCAAACTGCACACATTGAGAAAGGCCTATGTCACAGTGTTGATGTCTTAGTTTAAACAACAGGTCCTGACATCTTTGCAAAACAGATACTGAACTCTATCTGTCAAAAAATCACTTGGAAAGTCAGTGATGCTGGTACACTGTGCGGCTGTAAAGTCAGCTCAGTGAAGTAACTTGACATTTGTTATAGGAATAATCAGTTCAGCGCTAACTTAATGGGTCACAAAGATGAGGTTATTAATGCATCAAGGTGTAAACTATGACACTGCAAAATGTTAGCAAACTCATGAAACTAAGCTAGCTTTCCCTGAGCTTTAGCTGTTGTTAAGCTAGATATTGTAATTGCTAAATGAAGGCCTTGGAATGTGTGAAGATTGACGAAGGAAACAGAAGACATTGGTACGGTGATTTGGACAGATACACACACAATATAAAATATAATCTCTCAAGCATACTTATCCATGCAGCATTAAGGCTACACTATCATATCATTAACAAATCAACTACTTGTTCATGTAACCCAACAAAACATTTCACCAGAGAGTTGTATTGTCCTGTGATGGGTTATTCAGAGGCTGCTCCACAACAAATCGTGACTACTTGTAATTTGGGTCAAATGGTTGAATGTAAGGCTTAATGTATCACTACTGGTGCTGTCTATGGGTGCCTTTACACCTGACTTTTTTGGTTGAATTTAAATGAACTCTGGTGCATTTACCTGTTTAATTTGGTCTTGTTTAGGCTGAACGTCATTCAAACTAGGACCAACTGCAGACCAAAGACTGCTTAAGAAGTCTTGGTCAATTTCCAACCACAAACAAAAAGGAGTTCGGTCTAGACCTGCTCTATTTGAAAAGTATCCTGAGATAACTTCTGTTATGAATTGGCGCTATACAAATTAAAAAAATTAAATTAAATTGAATTGAAACTGTTTGTGGTGCAAACATGAATACATCAATTAATACGTAAATACGTAAAAAAAAATTAACAGCTGGTATTTGAAACAGCTATTTTGAAATTGCAGAGTAGATTTTAATTGTATTAGTAATCATGATTTAGCAAGCTAACTCTTAAGGGACAGCTCAAAATCAACCTAATAAACAACCTAATAATGAACCTTGTGGTGCTCAAAGCGCCAAAAAAATACATTTGAAAAACTAAACAGCAATGTCTTTTTCCAGAAATCATGACCCAGTTACTCAAGATAATCCACAGACCTTGTTGTGAGCATTTTCATGTAGGAACTATTTTCTTTCTATCACATTTTGAAGATGGTTAAAGCTGCAGTAGGTAACTTTTATGAAAAATAGCTTATAAAAAGCCATTAGGAGCACTAGGAGCAGCCAGAGGAACCTGACACAGATTATCTGTGTCATGTACTACTGTCAGGATATAGTGAAAGTTTCCGCAAATATGACAATGTTATTTTTTATAGAAGTTAATGGCTATTAAAAAAGCAATCGTTAGTTAGCTAATTATATTTTAAGATGTGACTAAATCTATGTTGCTTTTATATTGTAACCATTTTCAAAATGTGGTTGTCTTTTCAACATAGATTAGCCTAGCACATAGTATATCTAAGTACAGGAAAGGAGGAAGTCGACTGAGGTTTGCTGGAGCAAAAAGGAGAAAAAAGGGGTGGGACTAAGGAAGATGATGGTTTAATTTGTAATAAGTCAGTGAGAACATCTAACAAACCAAAACTGAATGACAACTATGCATTGTTTTCCATTTGTGCAAACCAAATGAACCAGGTGTGAAAGTGACCTAAACAATCAAACCTTTACACAGGTATGCCATCACATGTTCACTTAGTGAAATCCACATCCACATGCAAATGTAAGGGAGAATTCAAAAGAAAAGTAAAATTTATGAGTGGGATGGGATAAAATAAACAGAGCCTCCTGCATTTCCCAGCATCAAGACATCAAAACTCTCTTTTTCGAAAAACAATGTTAGTGAAAATCTGTGGTTATGCAGACCACCAGGCACTATAAACATACAATGAAAGCAATACTATTGAAGCTGTCAGTTCACCACTACATTGTACACAGGAAGGGTGAAAAGAGATTGTGGTCATGTAATGCGTCAGTGTTCTCGCCAAATGCCATTTAAGATTTAGGGTGTTTATAGTTGCTCCTGCTGTAGATCGCATCCTACAGCCACACGCAGACGATGTAGGCTGCGTTCATGTTGAACACGTTGTCGATGCCCTCACTTCTGCTTTCTTGTCTGCCATCAAAGCCAGCCGCAGGAAGAAACATGTTTCTTTACCCTTGTGTGCTCCCAGATAATGAAGGTAGTTCACCTCCACCCTTATCCTTGTCATCTGTCTGCACGTCGCTGACATGTCTCAAGGCCTGAAGCCATATCGGTGTGAATGCAGCGCCTCGGTCAGTGTCTACCAACTGTCAGTGTGTCCTTCTGCCCCACCACCTCCCTTCACCTCACCTTAAATCTGTGCTGCAGGTCTGCTTCAGTGTGTCCAACAACAGCAACAACCCTGCTGGGCTTACTTCACTTGCCTGCACAATACAACTTTGCGGATATTGGCGGTATGGAACAGGGTCTGCAGGGTCTTTAAAAGTCTAAAATCCAACAACCTGAATATATGCCATAAAATATAAATATGATTTTGATCTGATAGGTCTTAAACATTTATTGGATTAATGAAGTTAATGTTACTTATATGAAGTTGCATTTTTCAGTATCGCTTTTAAATGTTTCTTTTGGGGGAGGGTAACAATTTTGTATTGATCGTGTGGTAAAAACTACAACTTACTTTTACTTTGCCTATATGGACATAAACTAAGTCCTAAATTGCATTCATAATGGTCTTTAAAAGTCTTTCAGTTCAACCTGTTGAAACCTGCATCAACATCTGACAACTATAGTCTCTGTAATGTATGGTTTGGAATGCATATGCTGACATATTGTGTAGGGGAGAACAGCTTGAGCCACGTTTTAATGAAAATGTCTGTAGATATAGGTTTGCTATTGTGTAACACCCTGTTTACACTTACCAGTTGCCACACAGTTTGAAAATCGAAGAGAAGTGCAACCAATAAACATTAAAGACATTGAAAGCTGCACAACAACCTGTAGAATATTACACGCCCATTTTGGCTCCCAAGGAAAACCTGCTATTTTTTGGTTCCAGCTGGTAAACAAAGTTTCCGAACCAATTTATTTTTGTTCGAAATGCTCAGAACAGTTCAAAACTAGGTGCTTGAGTCAGAACTGAGCAAGTTCCCTGTTGGTGGTCCCAGGTTGTTCCTGTTTTGGAAAAAGCCTACATTTGTGCAGTTCATTACATCTTCGCCCCTGAAAATAGACTTTCCCCCTGCTCTGCCTTTAAGTGATTGTATACTGAAACTTTTGATGACCACTGTAATCATTCATCCTGCACATGTTGGCCCTGAAGTTCCCTCACTACTGTGACTCCAACAGTGGGACAAAACCCACAGTCCTCAATCTGTGTCAAATTGCATCCTTCCACTGAAGCTAATATGTTTCAGTCTAGGTTAGCCAAATTCATAGTATAAATCATCATCCTGGAAGTGGTGTGTAGGTTTGTTTAACAAGCAAACACTCCATGAAAACACAAAAGGAATTTCGTAGAATAGCAAAAGTAAATTTCGATATGCCTCGAATGCACAGTGATCACAAAACTACCGCCAATGCTCATGAACAAGCTGGCTAGCTTCAATGAGAGAAGATCTAACATTGATGTTTAATTTTTGATGCAAACCTTCTTAAAAGAGTGGAAGTGAAGTGAACCCAGTTGGGAGAAACCCCCTTCCCCTATGTCCTTGCTCTGATCTCAGGGCTGTGCTAGCATGTTCCTGTCCAGTACCCTGATCTGTCATCCTCATGTGTCTTCCCAGTGACTTCCCCTTTGGAACCCAGGAACCCCGCTGCTTCTAAATGTCAGTGTTAACAAAGACAATGTTGTTCTGTTCCGGCAGCATCATCATGCTTTAGTTTAACTTCTGTCTACATGGTGCGTTTTTTATTTCTTTGTTTTTTAATCTTTGGATTGACAGATAGAGTTCTTATGTGGTACTTGCTTTGTTTTATTTTTTTCTTCTATGTGTAAATGCTGTAAGGAAAAAAATGTATATATTTGATTTAAAAGAGCAATGGGTTGGATTTCAGTTTCTCTCTGTCTGAAAGTTTATGTGTTACAAAAGATCCTAAACAAAAAACTGCTGTTTTGTTCTTTGTCTGCAGTACAGAACTGCCTGATCGAACTGGGCAGGATTGTTTCAGAGACTTAGTGTTGACTGTTTTTCGACGTGGAAACTGTTACATTTTGCTTGATTGAAAAAAAAAAATATATATGTTCATGTTTAGTTTCTTTTGATTATTTCAATAAATGGCTTCTTTTGCCATCTCTTGCCACTAATGTTTTTTCAAGCATTAATCCCTCAAAGTAGTCAAAATTGCATACCTTTAGTATGTACTACTGATGAGCTTCCTAAGTCCCGCCCCTTTTAGTTTGTTGTTCCAATAACAGTTGAACAAACCTCGGTCAGAGCCCCGGTTAACTTTCTGCTTTCCTGTACTTAGATATGCTGCGTGCTAAACTGGTCTTGTAAAGAGGACCAAATTATGAAGACTGTTAAGAGATAAAAGTGACAGCTAATCTACATCAATCGTTACCTAGCGATTTAGCTGGATATTCAGCTAGTGTTTTGCTACATTGTAAAACACATACTAGCTAGCTAATCTACATTACATCGTTACCTAGCTAGTTATAGCTGATAGCCATTGTTAGCAAAATGCCAGTTAACTGCTAGGTAACGATTGATGTAGATTAGCTAGCTAGTTAGCTCGCGTTTTGCTAACATTAGCTAACTTAAGATGTGACTATACGTTGCTTCTTTTAAAGGACCTGTGTGTAGAATTGAATGGCATCTATAGAAGAGAAGTTCCTGATTGTAACTAACTGAACACCACAAAAAAGTCTATCTAGAGCTAGTGTCTGATTTGTCTGTTCTGGGCTGCTGTAGAAACATGGCAGACTCCAAGGAAGGCGACCCCTCTGTAGAGAAAAACCACTCACTGGAAGGTAACTGAAACAGCAGTTCTTATTTTCATGTGATTATACACTAATAAAAACATACCTATGAATATTATTAGTTAGTTATTAGTTTCTGGGAGGAAGTATTGGCAACCTAATTGAGCAAGTGAAATGGGAACTAAAGCAAACCCCCAGGAACAGTGCTGGGCTGTGAGGTGATTTTGTTGTGGTGTTCACAGAATGGCAAGATCTCATGAGGCACACCTTAAACTACCTTTATCCCATACAAAATCATTTGAAAATGAGCGTCTGTTAAACAAATATTGTTGTGGGTGCCACAAACACACTAAAATGCTTGTACTACAACGGCTGCAGATAAAATCATCAGTTCCAACCTGCCCTCCACCCAGAGGCAGGAAACAGGGCAAGAACTGCAGCTCCATCACACCCTGGACACAACCTGTTCAAACTTCTCCCATCTGGTAGGTGCTACAGAGCACTGTACGCCAAAACAAACAGACCCAAGAACAGGTTCTAATCTACACAGTGGCCATGACTGATGAACACTAAACCCTCCACTTTCCGACAAAATACAAATTATTTATTAACAGTTTAAAATGTACACTGTTTTTAACATCTACATATCATCCATCACTGTCAAATATGTACAGTAGGCTATTTGAGGGGATACACCATCCCCCTTGTTAGCAAAATTACCTAAATACATCCCCTTTGTTAATGTCTCTTCAATAATAAACTTTTTATACAATTCTGTTTATAAATTTATTAAAGTTTTTTTTATAAATCATTTTTAATAATCATACAGACTTAATAGGCTTCTTTTTTTTGACAAATTCAGTGTTTTCTTGTACACGGCACATTGTTCTGTTAGACAATTTACTTACTTATGCAGAGATATAAGCCTCCATCAATAACGTTCTGGGTTCTGAACTTGGGAGTTCCACCGATCAGCCATAACATCATGACCACTGACTGGTGAAGTGACTGTCAGTGGTGGGATTATTACAGAGTGAATTTTGTCCTAAATGTTGATGTTTAGAGGCAGGACATGGGCAGGTGGAGGCTTGAGGACTTGACAAGGGGCGACTTGGTGATGGTTCAGACACTCGTCAGGCTCGTCAAACTGCGCTCTTGTGGGGTGTTCCCGCTTGCAGTTGTTCAGTTTATCAGCTGAACTGGCGACAAGGCATCAGAC